ATGGTTTTCTCATGATTTTTCTTCTTGAAGAACATCGCAACAAAATAGTCTTGTAGAAAGGAAAAATCGTTCTTTGCAAGAATTAGCTATTTCTTTGTTAAATGAGTATAATTGACCAAAATTTTTGGACTAAAGCTGTTAATGCTGCCTCTTAGGTGATGAACTCTGTTTTAATAAGGTCAATTTTGAATAAACCCCGTTATGAGCTTTTTAATGATAAAACTCCTAATATCAACTATTTCAAAGATTTTGATTTGCAAATGTTTTATTTTGAAAAATAAAAAGAAACTTGGAAAGTTTGAGTTAAAAAATGTCATTGACACATTTTAAGGATATTCGACATGTCGTAAAGTATATAGAATTTTTAATAAAAGAACCCTTGTAGTTGAAGAGTCGATAAATGTTGTTTTCGATGAATCGCATATTCTTGCTAATCAAGTTTCTCCTAGTGATGAGTTAAAAATGCCTTTTGAGGATTTGAATTTTAAAGATAAGGACTTAGAAGTTGTAGTAAATGAGACTTAATAAGTGCTTGAGGAAACTCTTCCAAAGGATTGGAGTTTCTCAACTCACCATCCAAAGGAGTTAATTATAGGTGATATATCCCAAGAGGTAAGAACTCGCTCTTCTTTAAATGCTTTAAATAACGTTGCTTTTGTATCTCAAATTGAACCAAAGTCTTTTAAAGAAGCTGAAGCTGATGAATTCTTGTTAATTGCTATGCAAGATGAGTTAAATCAATTTGAAAGAAATAGTATTTGGGAATTAGTGTCTCGTCCTAATGATAATCATGTGATTGGTAATAAATGAGTGTTTAGAAATAAAATGGATGAGTCTAGTAATATTGTTAGAAATAAAGCTAGGTTAGTTACATAAGAACTCTCTTTTGGAGAGTTAGTTACATAACTCTCCAAAAGAGAGTTCTTTGTGCAAGAATTCCATATAAATTATCTAAGGATAGCCACACTAACACTCACTCTACATTGATTTTGTGCAAATAGTATTTCAAATTCACTAACATCCCTGCATTTGCAAATGATGTTGAGAGTTATTAAGAATGACCTAATTCTGAATGTTTTGTTGCAGCATTATGATGCAAAACATGAATAACAGAAAATCTGGAAATCTAGGAAGATTTCGTGTCTGTTTGACCAGTATATCAACATCGTTAATGTTATAACATCGTTAGAGTAGCCCATAAAGAGTCACGAATCATCTTCCCCCTTACCCTTTTAAATATCAGTAGTTAACCTCTTATTTGCATATTTTCCTTTAATCGGTTTGGTTCTGCATGGTTTTTACCTGTTTTTACTCAGTAAATCATCTATCCACTATTTTGTTTGGGTTCCTTTAGTTTTTTCTTCTTCAAAACATATTTTGTTAATTTGTTTATTTTCTTAAGTAATTGTTGAAGTGTTTTGTTATCAATCCGTGTGGATATGATATTTTTGTCACTTGCTACAACGATTGTGTACACTTGCATAAAGGGTTCTAAGTCGTACCACAATAACAAAGAAGAAAATTAGATTATGAGGAAACTTTTACTCATGTTGCTAGACTTGAATATATTAGAATGTTGTTTAAATTTGCATCTCATAAGAACTTTACTTCATATCAAATGGATGTCAAAAGTGTTTTCTGAAGTGGTTTTATAATGGAAGACGTATATGTTGAACAACCTCCTGGTTTTAAAAGTGTTGAAAATCCAACTCATATTTTTAAATTAAAGAAAGCTCTTTATGGTCTTAAACAAGCTTCTAGAGCTTTGTATGATCATTTGAGCGTGTAAATTTTTGCTTGAACAAGGTTTTAAAATGGGACTTATTGATACTACACTTTTTATTATAACCAAAGAAAACGATGTTTTGTTAGTATAATTTATGTAGATGACATTATTTTTTGTGCAACTAACCCTTCATTATGTGAAGAATTTTCTTTTAGTGTATGTACAATGAGTTCGAGATGATCATGATGGGTGAACTCAAGTTCTTCCTTGGGCTTCAAATCAAACAACTTAAAGAGGGAATCTTCATCAATCAAGAAAAGTATACAAGAGATCTACTCAAGAGGTTCAAGTTCGATAATATCAATATAGCAAAGACTCTGATGAGCCCTACCACAAACCTTGATAAAGATGAAAAAGGTATAAATGTAGATATAAAAGCTTATAGCGATATGATCGAATATTTTCTTTACTTAACTGCGAGTGGACTGGATATTATGTTAAGTGTATGCATGTGTGCTAGATTTCAATCATGTCTTAAATAATCACACTCTTATGCTATTAAAAGAATTTTTAAATACTTGCTTGAAACTGTTGACTCACTTATGGTATCCTAAGAATGCATCTCTTGAATTGATTGCTTATTCTCATGCTAAATTTGCATCTCACCCACATTTCGAGTCACAACACAATTTTCCAGCATGTTTTTAATCGTACCAAACAAAACACTAACCCAACAGCTTCCAACTAAACAACATAAAACTAAACGTCATAGGTCAATCACTCCCAACCATAATAATCAGAACTGACCAGTCACATCCAACGATAAGAAATGATGCATGCTCATAATGTCTAACAATAGAAACGGTAACATGTAACTCAACAATAATCACTAGGCGTTCACAAAAGCAAGACTAACAATTTCTATATGCACGAAATAAATTATTCTAACTAAAAATCAGCACAAAACCATTCCATTAGCACTCAATAACGCACGCACTCGCCCCCTGGTGCTACTTACACACTGCTATCCTCCTAGATCTTGCGTCAATTCAACACCTAATCAACAATAGACAAACAAAAATAATTAACACAAAATTTCCAACCATCGAAATTCATTATAAGGGATCTTGCAACATCCGTTACCCCAACAATCGACTTCGTCTAGGTGCGGGTAACTCCGGCCAAACTCGAATAAATGTGGGTTATGTATATCG